TTTTTTTTCCTTTTTATTGAAATGAGACAACTTTTTAAAAAAAAGATCTTTGCACGAAACCAATATATACACCAATTTAGACGTACAATGCACCATATTTAGAAATCGATTTTTGAAATTTGACAAATCGAGTTTTTGCGATGAACGAATAAATAAATTCCGTAAAAATGGAACGATTGACTGAAAAAAGGAGGGTTACCTTTGTGAGCAGAATTTTTATCACCAAGCGCAGGGTCCTTGACCAAAAGCTCTGTATTGGTTTCCATGTGGCTCAGCAACGTGTAGCCGCTCTGTAATAAATAAAAAAAAAAAAAAAGAAAAGAAAAAAAATCAGTAAACTATCGTAAATAGTGACATTAAATTTTTTTTTTGTCTAGCATCTTTTCCGCAAAAAACTAACGAGCTCGGCTAGTATAAGTATACAACAGGTATAAAACATAAATGAAATAAGTAAGCGCGCGAATCGAACGTATGTAACGGTACAGTGCATAAATAGGCAAACAGACTCTCGCGCGTCTCTATGTATGCTTAAAAGTACCACAACTAACCCTCCACTGCATAAGTATAAATATTTTATGAGTAACAAGAACTTTCAGTCGTAGAAAATATACTAGCGCAAAATCATCACAACAAAACAACAAGAGCAAATAAACAAGCAGAACGCGAGGATTCGAATTTCGACTCCGAAATCTCTGTGGTCCAAACAAATTTTACATAAATACAAGATGGGAATAATATACACACTACCTACTGTCACCAGATAATGTGGCATAATGGCACGGACAGCAAGCACGCATCGGGCACACCGTCGACGAGAGAAAACTATATAGAGAAGAGGATTAAAAGAGAACGCGCGGACGAGAGAGAAAGACGGATGCACCAACTACTAGGTACTTAGGTAGGTCGGTAGGTATAGACCCCGAGAGCAGCCCCGAGTGCTGCCTCGGTGAGGACTGACTAGAATTTTTCAAAATGGCGCTCCGCCAAATTCCCCGCACCACACTCGCAACTACAAGTACAACACTAGGCAACGGCATCCGAGAGCGAGTGGCAGCGGACGATCTCTCGACTGACACCATAACCGCAACCAAAGCTCCATCATCTGCATCTCCCTCTTTGCATCTATAATAATATATAGTATGTGTGTATGTATATAATATGTGCTCCAAAAGAGCGAGAGAGACGCTTGCTTGATGGCTCTCTTTCTCTTTCGGATTGTTGCAGACGAAGCGCGCTCCCCCCTCCACCCGGCTATACCTATACCTACTGCTGCTGCCGCGCGGACGAGGTCGCGGTGGCGGCAGCAGTAAAGCGTCCTCGTGGAGTGCGAGCATCAGGGACGCTCTGTGAAAAGTATAGTAGGTAATCACCTGGTAGCGTCGTCGACCTCCTCCTTGACAACTTTCTCGAAGCAATGCGCTCCCGCGGTACACATGTACACCCGGTGCACCTCGACGTAGGTGTACGCAACACGGCACAGCGCGAGGAGAGATAAGTAGAGAGAAAATAAGTATATACTTATGTTATTGTAAGTACACGCACTCCGGGCGACTGGCAACTGCTGTGCACGACTGCTGCTGCCAAGTGCCAGCTAGCGCGCGCACACAAACATAGATGATCCACTAAGTTTAGTATATACACGTATAAGGACGCCTGGCCTGAGCACCGTGTATGTATATATGCGTATGTGTATATTTTCATGCGAGATTGTGCCAGTGGTAGTCGTGGTGATACTGGTGATTCTCTCTCTGGTTCTCCTCTCTCTTGCTCCGCCGTCTCTGTCGTCCCATAGTAGAGTTCTCTCCCGCCCCCCGCTGCTCTCTCAGGCTCTGAGGCTCTATAATATATAATAATCAACATCATGTTCATGAAAGACGGACGCACCAACACACGAGCATCAGATCTCAAGTTGTTGGTGGTTGTATTTCTTTTGTACAAGTGTAAGTATCTATCTGCATACAAGTTTTATTTTTTCATTGCCTCGACAACAGGAACATCAGTCTGTCAGTTTGTCGAGGGACATGAACTTTTGTCCACCTTGCTAACATATCTGTTATTTGTTGTTGCTGCGCATCTTCTACGTTACTTACTTTCTCTCTTTTCTCTTTCATCCTTTCATGTGACTTTGAAATTCCCTCTGATAATATGGCACAACATTCACGCAAATGGACTCTGAGTTGTTTAACTCATTGTCAACCCACGCGCATCTCCTCGCATAAACATTCACGTATAATGCTGGTAACAACTCACCCCACCTTTTCTCTCTCCTACTGTTCTACCATCAACTCCATTATATGAACAACACACTTTGTGCCATTGCGTTGCTCTCTTTCCTCCCCCTTACACAGATGCACCTATTGCTATCATCATGCCCTGACAAAGAACACCACCCACAGTGCCTTGTATTTTAATGAAGGTACATACATTGAATTTATTTCAAAGCCCGATATAGAAGAAAGAAGCTTGGGTAGCGAAAGGACAAAAGGGGTTGCTTTGGATCGGCAACGACGACGGTTATCTATCCGAGTACCCCGATAATACAGAGGAGAGAGAATACCAAGATCTGCTTAGAATCGGATACGTTGTACCTACTCTCGCTTCCTTTCGCTCTGCCTTTCTCTCTGGAAATTCTTTCGTTGTAACGGAATGCCCAACCGATCATCAACGCGGAGCTTTCAGGCCCGATCGCAAACCTTGAAAATTTTCTAATGCAGGGGAAAAAAAGTTCAAAGTTTCAGTCGGGAGGGAGAAAAAAAATAAACAGCTCGATTCGCACACGACGCATTTAACAAGCTTCTGATGGAGCTTACAATACATCGAAGAGGTACCACTTGGAGAGAAAAGCTTCTAGCGTACATAATTTTTTTTCTTTCGAAAAACCGCAGGCGGATTTAATACCCGTTACCCGGTAGTAAGAGTAATATAGAGATGAACTAATTGTATGAAACAAATCGGTCGCGTTTATCTGTTTCAATTTAAAAATCGTTTCCCGTATACAAAAATACACGCACACGCAACGCAATCTTTCGTTATAAATTCGTGTATATCGTTTATAACGTACGAAAAACGGATCACGTCGAATTCCCGCAAAACCGCGCGCAACACCCGTGAGCTTTTAACGAAAAAACAATTACATCTCTCGCAGTTTATCGGCGACGTAAAAAAAAAAAGTGCATTTTTGTTCGTTGCGATGAAAAACGGAGTTTAGCGCAAGCCGGTCATGCGCCACATAGTCTGCGACACGTAAGCGCGCGCCTCCCCATTGCGAAAAGATCGATATCCCTTGGGGCAGGATCTAAAGGGTGTATGTACGTATACGTATATAAGGCACGTATAGGCAGAAAGACTTGTAACGGAAACGTAAGTTTCTTGCGCGAAATTTTTTTTGTTTATTTTTCTTCGAGGGTTGCCGTCGCCGCGATGTCTTTTGAATTCTCCCGCCGTTAAAGCCCGCGATGATTTAAAAAGCCGCGTGTATGGCATCAGAGAAATGACTGTTTACATTTCACCGTATAATGTAATACTTTCTATTTTGCAACGAGACGAGGAAAGCCCAACTTTTTGTCTCACGGCAGAGGGCAGCCCAGTTTTTGGAAATGTGCTTACGCACGCACAAACATACACACACGTGTGTGCGTTGGTGCGCTCTCCCGCCCTCCCGCGTCACGTATACACACACGGAGACACCATTTACCGAATTAAAGGAAAAAGAGCGCGAGTGTGTGAGTAAGTACATGTAACTATCTAAGATAGCACGAAGAAAGAGAGTGAGAGAGACCGGAAAAAGAGGAGAGACGACAAAGAAAAAAGAGAAGCCAGGGCCGTGTGAAGCGCCCGCAGTGCGCTCCGATTTTTCCCCCTCGAGTCTGATATCCCTCTGATGCTGATGCACACCATCAGCGGGAAAGAGTAGAAGGAGAGGAAGAAGAAAACATCGACGTCGCGTGTCGAGATGATGCTTTTCACGATATTTTCAAGCTTCGCTCCGATTTATATCAAAAGGATTCGAGCTTTTTTGACAATCGCTGCTCCGCGTTCTCGAGCTTTTTCTTTTTATTCGAGGGTAACGGCGATTACATGCGTACAGCTGATAAGAATTTGTCAAACGCAATATATTTTGAAGGACGCAGAAGTCGATCCGACCACTTGTCGTTGCAGGGCCAGTCTGCCTGAAACGAAGGTCCCTTTAAAAAGTGCGGATGTTGGGGGGTACGATTCATAAATGCATTGCACACAAAAACGGCAAAGCAATGGTAACAACGATGGAATCGTCGACGGTACTCTTTATTAATATAAATTTTTATTGCACTGACCTGACGTCACGTCGGCCATTTTACTCTTTGAGCCTCGTGATCCCGGGGTGTCTGTATATGTGTGTGTGTGCGCGCGTCTGTGTGTGTGCGCCTGAACGTCTGGATACACATCTATGTGCCCGCGTCCGGGTACATTTTATATGAAAACATGGATAGTTATACTTGCAATCTTTACATTAAAGTATCCGCGTATAACTGTATGCATAACGTAACGCTGATATACACCTGTTTAACTGTGAAACAACAACAAACCCCCTCGTTGCAAGCTTATCATCAAATCAAACCCCAACAGGTAGAAAAAAAGTTGCGAGCGTATTAAATATACTGACACTAGTCGCAAGCTCAAATGAGAATCGTGCCGGCGTGGTTTTCGGCATGGCAGGAACAGCGTGCGATTCGAATGTCCCGCTGCAAGAAAAGCGCAAACAGGGTAAACACGATCGGCGACACGGATAAGCCGGCCAGTCGTGTCAATCGGTCGAAAGCTCTAAAAAAAAAAAGAAAAAAGGAACAAAACAATGAGTTATCAAGCCAGCTCGTAGGCGTTGTACCCTTCCTCCTTTCACCCCCTGGCCCATGAGAGCTAACCTCGTTCACTACACTACTCTTTCTCTCTCGATACGTATAGTGTATATGTGTGTTTTAGAATGCCATTACCTACTTACGGAATACGGATGAGAGACACGTACGGAGAACCGTAAGTATAGCAGCTTCGAATTAAAGCGCGCGAAAACACGCGACTCGCACACGTGCTCTCGCCCCTAAAGTGTCCGAGGAGCGTGCAGTTTTGGCCTTGTGTGTTCCGGGCGGTCGAACGAACGGCTTTACTTGACTATATATATAACGACGCCGTCGACGTCGTCTTCGAGGGGCCTTAGAAGAAAATGGTGGAAAAAGAGCGCAAAGAAGAGAGACCGAGGAGAGAGAGAGAGAGAGCGCGAGTGTATACGGGGCGCTACACGGGGAGCAGGAGCTTGCCGTACGGCCCTGCCCCCGCCAGTGGGAGCGCTGCCTCTCTCTCTCTTTATCTCTTCCTCGTCAACCAGGCGGAGCTTCTACGGGTAGCTCGACTTCCACGGGGTTTGTGTCGATGCCGAAAAGTACCCGGTAAGCGACGCGTCGAGTTCGGATCTCTCGTTTTGGTTAATCTACGGGTTTAGCCGAGCTTGGCAGGGAGTACTCGTAGCTTTTCGAAAGAAAACGTTCGTTTACAACTATCGTTATCGGTAAAAGAATGAAAAGGAAAAAAAAAAAAAAAAAAAAAACACCATGTGAGCTTTGACTTACGTTTAATTTGCCAGAGAGTCGAGAAGTCCGTGATGATGGTCCTGCGATTTCAGCGGTGTTGTTTTAAAAAGATGACTACAGCTGCTGGTGTTCAGAGTACTACCCAGCAGTACTCTCTCGAACCCTCCGGGGAAAAACAACGGCTGATGCTGCGACTGCCACACACAATGTCTAACCGCACTGGGGAGCGATTGTGTGGTGTGGCCCAGAGACTACTTGTCTATACATCTATTGCCACACACTCACACACACTGCCGCTGTACCGCAGTACTTACCGCACAGCAGCAGGGCTCTCTCACACTCCACCTCCACACGGTGTGGAGTCCAGCAACAGCAGCACCGCCACACACCACACGGCCACCGTCGACGACACCACACGCACACACACTCACATGCACGTACAACTTAACACATCATCGTTTTCGCGAGACGCACCGTGTCTGGCTGCTGCAGCTGCGTGCTCTTCCTCTGCGTAAACCAAACCCCTGACGCTGCTGCACGCCCAGGATCGACCGGGACACGTGTGTATAACGATGTTTTGTCCCGGCAGACTAATGGACCACTAACTGTATTACGATTCTGTATGAGACCGGTGTTGTACACAACACAAGTATGTATGTATAACGGTACAAATTATGCAAGGAAAAATATTGAGATCGGCTACTGCTTTTACGAATCTCGGACACCCTGCAACAATGCGCGCGTTTTGAGAGCACCAAGCACGCGGGAATATGCTCGACGACTTTTGATGAGAATGAGGTAAATAATGCGAACGATGCTGGCGAGAAAGATGAAGGATGGCGCAAGTCGCGAGAGCGGGGTTTTTTAAATTTTGTCAACCCCCAGTGCTTACCGGTTTTCAAATTCTTTAGGTTGCTGGAGCTGTATACAGTATGTTGTACTTATTTTACTGGCAGAATCGAAAATAAACAACTTGGGGTAGAATAGGACATGTCCTCTTACAAAAGTGCCTGCAGGCACTTTTTATTTTGTATACAAAAATTCAGTTTAAACGCTCTGCGGATAGAACAATAACAAAGTAAGTGTTCTTGCTTACATTTATTTGAAATATTTTGGCAAAGCGAGATTTACAGGATCAAATAATGCAGGAGTTTGAAATAAACACCGTGGACACGCATGTTGCTACATGTGTGTTACACTAAACTAAAAAAAGATTGCACAATGATGATATGTACACCAAGACAGTGGTTGTGGTAGGTGGCTAATGTGGAGTGTTCAATACGATTAAAATTCCCTTATAAAACATATTTTAATTAACATTCTTATTTACAGTACTTATTTGATTTCATTCTGTTCACACTAATGTCACTCATCCTCTTCATCGTTGAATGACAAAACATGTCTCATTGGTGGTTTTGAAGATTTTTTCTTTTTAACTTCTTTAGGGTTGGAACATTCCGCAGAACCCAAATCTTCAGGATTTTTTTTTCTTTTAAAAATTATCTTTTGAGATAACTCTGCCTTGGCAACTTCAACTAAGCAAAATGTCAACATTAGTGCAATTTCAGTGCAAAACGAATATGATTAATTAATTTACCTTCTTTTTGTGCTTCTTGAATTTTAACATGTACATAAGCCTCTTGTTCTGTCAAATCTCCTTCATTCATGACAACAACAACAGGTCTCTCATCATCTCTGTCTTGAAAATCATCGTCATCAATTTCTGGTAGTTTTTCTTTCTGAATAAAAGACAAACATGATAAACTACATTAATACATAATATACATTGAGAGACAGAATTATTTTAACGCTACATTATTTGTCAACCTTTGTATCAACGTTTGGTCCTTCCACATAACCAGCTTGCTGCTTCAGTCTGGTTAAAAATGGTGGCTCAGCTGGTTTTGTAAATTGAATATTGTGTTTTTTCTTGGAGTTCATTGTTTCTTCGAGTGTACCTTTTGTAATCCAGCAAGCATTAAAAATATTTTTCGTTGCTGACTTATGAAATATAAACACTGAATATACAAGCAACCCAAACAAATAACTCGTCTGCTGCCTGCATGATGGCCCGAAATAAATAGTGAGTGCTGACATCTTGACGTCTTCATGGGAAGCTAAGTTAATTTTTATGCTTACCGATTGATTAGTCGATACAACAGAAATCACTTGGATCCTGATAATACCAACAAAAGCTAATTGGTAAATTATAAAAGTTGCTGATGTGATTCCAATAAAATTCGAATAAAATAATCGGGGACGAAAAATATTTAATTTAATTTGTGGATCAAGCTACGGTGAGAGTAAGTAAGTCAAGTGTCAAGTTAGTAGACAGCGTAAGGGAATTTTAAATATTCATGAAAAAAGGGCGCTACACGGGGNNNAAAAAAAATAAGAAAACAATATATGGAAATGTGTTTTTTTTAAAGAAAAGAATAACGAATGTGCCACGCGTAACATGAAATACTGAGGTGCATGCATCAATCAGTAGGTAATAGCAGCAGCAGCGATAGTCACGAATCAGACAAAAATCGCTCGCATCAGCAGCGTATTACCTAAATCTCGTTCCAGGTAGGTCTTTCGATTGGCGTTTCGAGAGCTCCTACGAGGCGTAACGTTACTGAGATCCACTGGCTTTTTAGCAGTCTTTTTCGGAGTGGTCTCATTGGACGCGTGCTCGTCATCGTGACCGTTACTCTTACCCCCATCTGTGATTTCCTCAATGTCTGGGCTGCCAAGACTGCCATTTTCCTCACAAATCTTAAGGTCCGAGTTCTCGAGGCTGCTATCGACAAGTTCGATAGCACGGTCCTTCTCATCTTCAACAACATCGTCGTCGTCGTCGTCATCATCGTCATTTTCCTCATCGTTCACTACGTCTTCCTCGTCAACGTCGTGCACCTCATCCTCAGCGTCCTCGTCACCAAGGCACTCAACGTCCGAGGTACTGCTGCGCACGTCAACGTCCATCGACTCGCTGACGGAACTGTTTTTTCCGCGCGCGTTCTGCTTTTTCACTAAATCCTCACTTTCGTCGTCAAGGACGACGGCATCACTTGTTTTGTCCGAACTCAAAGAGACGGGTCCGTCACCGTTCTCCTCGTGGCTACTGGTCTCCGGTTCCGCAGAATCGACTTCCATCGCTTCCTCCTTATTGTCCACACTATTCTCGCTCACACCGCGATTCCTTAGGCGCGAATTGCGATGTTTGTCACTTGCAAACGAGATGTCATCCTCGTTGTCATCGTAGCCATTATTTATTCCATTTGGAACCGCCGAATCTGCAATAAAATGTTTTAACGTTTAGACTATAAATGTTTAAACAAAGTCCTCCACGACGTACATTGATTTTGGTAAGAACAAATTTTAATGCAATTCAAATTTATCATAAGCACAGTGTTACATCGAAGTTTATTCTCATTTAAAATTAATTGATCTTTTATGGTAATTATTTTATACATTTATAACTTATCAAGGACAACAATTATATCTTTCGTTATAAGTGTATTTAATTTATCTCATACATTTTTATTTAAACAAGCCGTATTTTTTTGTTTGATTAAAAGTTTTTTTTTTTTTTTTTTTCCTTTTTTTTCTTTTTTTTTTTAATGCGGTTCATCATTCTGTTTCATTTTTTTATTTATTTTTATTTATGTGTCTTTTCAATTTATATATTATGTCGACAACACTTTTTTCCGATTCGTCGAAACAAAACCGAAGACACAATAAAACTTACCTTTATTACAATAGTAGCAAACATGATTATTACCAGCAATGTCCCTGGTCATCTGATGATAGGAGCTTTAGATTTTTATTTATTTGATTTATAAAATGGCTTGTTAGCGCTAC